TTACAATTGCAATGAGACACCCAAGTCATTTTCCGAATTGGGGTGGCCTTGAGGGAGCAAATGCGTGCGTGAGGGGAATCGAAAGATCATTCTTCCGCTACGCGTCGGCCGAAGCTATCGAGCTGATCACGGTTGACTCCCCGCGCAAGAGGACACCGCCCAAGAAGAATGAACAAGTCGCTGAGATCGTCAACAACATGTCCGCTGACCTCGTGATTGACTTCACAGTGATCGTCGATGGCGATATCTACCCCGTAGAGATTGCGAGAACCGACGAGACACAGGCCGCTGACAACGTCACGGACGATCCAGGGTTCTCCGTTGCTCCACCAATACCTGCACAGGATGTAGATGTGGATGCGCAACCCGAAGAAGAACAAGGTGCAGAAGACCCTGATCCCAGGCAGATGATTCGTGAAGGATTTGTCGCGCAGCTTCAGGACTATGTGGGAGTACTCGCTCAGGGCGAAATGTCGGTCGGAAGCGATCGCCTCACGTTCTGTATCGCTTGTGGCAGTGATCAACACCATCTGTCCAATTGCACGGAAAATGCTGCGACCCGGGATCTGGTACTTCGAGGCATCCAGATCATCAAGGAAAGCCTTCTTCGATATCCACGTCGAGTACCTCCACAAGAGGCTGAGCCAATGGACGTTGACACCACAGACCATGTGAGTGTTGCATCCTCGGACCGACGACCCAAGGCCAAAGCCCGACCGCGACGCGGAGGCGAAGCCGTACGGGGTGATGTGGTCTTGATCCGTTACGAGAACAAACACAATCTCTGCACGGATGTGGAGAACCGTCGGGGCTTACATGATGCTTGCGGAGTGCCGCTGCAGGATATGGGACCAGAGAACAGCCAGCGGGTGGTGGACCTCATTGAGCAGCTTTCGGACCATCGCGACCGACGCCTACCTCAACGAGGAGACCGTCCTAGCTTTGAATATGATGATACTATTCAGGGCTACACCAATGCAGGCTACGAATGCATCGGCGGCGGAAGGCCAATCCGGTGCGGGATTCTCGACCTGATCCCAACCAAGGGTGCAAGCTTCATCCACAATCGATGGGACATCGTGAACGAAGTTGTCCTTCGCAACATCACCCATCATCGAAGAAGGAACGCGGATTGGGCGCTATCATGCATTCAATCTGACCTGCGTCACAGAATCGCCAGGCGCCCAGGCTCGGAATGGCTTGACAACAGGTGCCAGGTGGCATTCAGCAGCGTCATTCGATGTGATGAAGGAGGGTGGGTGCTGATCGAGGATTTGGTGAGGCATGAGCAACTATGGACCCATGACAGCAGACGCATCACCGAAGCGGTCTCAAGGACCGATGAGCAACAAAGGAAGAGAGTGTACAATGAAAGACTTCAGCTATTGTTCCAAGGGAACATGCTCGCAGCCACGAGACGCCACAAGGCCAAGATTCGGCTGCAGTTCCTGGGAGTGAGAGTGAAGGACCCCGGCACGGAGACTCTTGGATCCGCAGGTTCGAACATGTTGGTATCGATTCCTGACCAGATCACAGAGATCCAGAACAATGATCGTTGCCGGCACAGCCAGAGGTACCTGAACGTTTGCAACGGCTGGGTGAAGCCATGGGCAGTTCGGGCTACGAGTGGTCACTCTGCGCACTCAGATCCCCAGAACAATTTGCTTCAGTTGGACAAGAACAGGTTCGCAATATCTCCATCTATGACCCTCTTGCAACGTCTTGGAGGCGCGTTCCACGCTACGGCATGCCGCAACCTGGATTCCATTGTCACGCAAGGCATCATGCCTGGTTCGGAGGACCCCGACGGGGACTTCGACCATAGGCGCCAATTTCGAGGCAACCAAGGCGGCAGACTCCACAGCTATTGGGGGGTATTCGCACCGTTCGATCACCGGAATGCGACGACCAAGATGCGGGTACATGGACGAGATGCCAAGCACATGCCGCTGGCGGTCCTCCATGTCCCATCGCAGGACCTTGCACGAGAAGATGGACGTATCACAGACAGCGGCATCATGATCGTTGGCCGAACGATACCGTTCCAGTTCGTCAAGGAGGTATGGTTTTGCGTCCCGAATCCTCAAGATACACACTCTTTCGCTCTGGTGGAAAAGATCTACGATGAACGGTTGGAGAAAGAAATGGTGTTGGACTACAATGCATCACCTTTGCTCCCTAAGTTCGAGAGATACCGAACACCAAGCAAGATCATGGAACTGCTTTGCGAGATGCCTCCTGGACCCCACGACACCAGCAAGGAGCAGATCATTCGAGACCTTACGACTGTCCTGGAGTCCCACAGGGAGAACACGGTTCGGCATCACTACATGGACAAAGGGATCAAGTTTGTCATCAAGAATTGGCGACCCGAAGACCTACGCAGAGACGAGGATGGAAGGAGAATGAGGGTGTGCCCGGCATGCTACAACATCGTTCCAGCATGCTTCTCCCGATGCACGTCCTGCTGGTCACAATTCGTTTCTTGCGGATATTACCAAGGTTCTCCACAACGGGAGACTCCTACGGAGATCCCCAGTGACTTCATTGCTCAGACAATGGAAGCCGCGGCAGCAGCAGTGCCAGAGGCGACCGAAGAGGAGCAGGAAGCCATGGAGATAGAGACCGTTGCGGAACCTGAAGAAATCCCAGAACCATCTGTCATCGCGGAGGACGATCCAGAACAGGAACCCGATGAAGAAATGGACACAGAGCCAGGAGAGGACTTTGATGACGCAGTACCAGATGCAGTTGCACAGGAACGACGTCCTGTCCTCATCGCCGGCCAGTCTTTGAACATCGATCCTGAACTACAACTCGCACGTACCGCCATGCAGCCATCCCACTACTCAGGAAAGCGAAATGCCCATTGCATCGACGCCAACATGGCCGCTCTTTCGTATATGGCATTCGTGGTATGCAGAACCATCTACAAGGCTTGGTCAGGATTCGCGAAGTGGGCGACTATGCCGTTGTTCCAGATGAAGGAGAATTTCGCACTTGGCCAACGCTATGATGTGCTCGGAAAGTGGGGATCTTTGGCTGCAGTGGACAGGGAAACGGGTGTGAGCAGGGACGTGACTGATGAGGAGATCATTCGCTTTGCCAAGGAGCCTGAGAACCTCAAGCAGTATGATCCCAACGGGACTTACACTTTGAAGCGCTTCCGGACGAATCAGATGCTTTCGTTGCTTACACGGGGAGCCAACATGATGGGAATTGGCAGGGACAACTTCAACCCTACTACGTACTTGAAGAGCAACAGGGATGAAGATGTGAAGGCTATGCACTTCTGTTGCCTGAACGTTCTGTGCGAGGTGATTCCGATGGTGACAGGACACCAACAATTCTCCGTGCTACGACCAACGCCAACTGGACCGGTGGACTTCCTGTACATTGACCCCGTCGGTATCCTGCTGACTCATGCCGATCATTCAGTCCAGACCATTGGATTGCTGGTGGATCACAGTGTGCAAATGCCTGCGCATTTCATGGACAGACTGGTCAGATCCAAGGCTGAGAGACAGCAAAATCCGACAACCAAGCGTACTGAAGCCCTACATCACATTTCGGCCGCTGACTATCTCCCTCCAGGTGGTACTTCCATCCTGGACACGCCTGTCACTACGGAGGAACGTGCAAGCGCTTCTTCGGCCAAGGGACCTTCAAAAGGGCGTGAGAGAACCGGAGGTGAGCAGCATGGAGGCTGGAACTCCAACTCCTACTACGACTACACCGCCGGCAAAGGCCGAAACAAAGGCAAGGACAAAGGAAAGCAAAGGGAACAGTATCCAGAGGAAAACCTCCGGCCCTGGGACCGCGATCCTGCGACCACGCGAAGATGGAGATGAATCAACGCTTGGTCTGCCTCGCCTTTCAGTTCGTGACCTCTGAGCTTCGCCCGTGGCATGCCATCGCGAATGCTTCTTTCTTCGGTGACGCCTGATTCGTTTGCCATTTCAGGGGATCGTTACTGACGTAGATGAGTGTCACAACGTTTCTAATTGGGATGCAAAGCTCTGATTTTCAATGTCAACGTTGCGGCGGAACATTTTCTGTTGTCCTATCGTGCCATCTTCCGGGTGAGCAGCGTCGGAGACGCAACTCATGGGGGGTGCGAACGGACTGCGATGCCTTGTCAAGTTCTAAGGTGTCACTATAAGAGCTGTGAGCAAGACCGTGTAAAGTGCAAGAGAAGGGGGCACGCTACGCGTCCCTCGACTCTAAGGGGGCACGCTACGCGTCCCTCATCTTTACCTTTCTATGTGACCGCCCACGCAACGTTTGGCTCAAGTCAATGCCCATAGCTAAGTGCTATATGTGTCTTCTATCCTGAGCAATCAGAGCTATCCCGTTGCACAGACGAACCGCCGCCGGCAGTGAGTGCAAAAGGAACGGCCGCCGGTTCTGCCTGCATAGGATTGCACGTGTGGAAGTGTGTGAGAGAGACAGGGTCCAGTCTGTGGAGAGTGCAAGCCAACCACACCTACATTCATTACAGCTCTGGTGGGGAGAGCAGCAACACAATCGAGATCAAATCCCCACGCAATTTGAATGAGTCCTACTTTGGTGGCTGTTGGACATCCCAGAAGCAATGCCATGTCTCAACAAAGCATTTCTCTTAAATCCCATTCCCTTAAACGAAAATGCAGGCCTTGACAACGCCAAGAGTGGCCCGAAAACCAGGAAGTGCAACATTATGATTTCTTAATCATAGCATAGTGCCCAGAAAATTGGAACACCATTATCCTCATGCCCGAATCCTCATGCCCTTGAAGGTAAACTATAGGGATTCTGGCGCGAATCCTCGCAAACCCATGTTCCAAATTTGTGGGGTCCGCTTTAGACTCTGTCGGTGGTTGGTACCGCGAACTACGACTATCTTTCTCAAAGACAGCGGGCTCAGGCAAGGCCCTTCAACACAAAACTAGTGTATCGAAACACGCAGACCAAACCTGACTGGAGGCAACCAGCATAAACCTTCCCTACATACTCGTCAGATTCAAGCCTTCCTGATCCTGATTCCTCCGTTGCCGGGTCCCCGGAACTTTGAGACACCTTGGATTGGTTGTTCTTGCCGCAACAAGGGTTCCATGATAATAAGCTTTGATAAGCTGGAATGGGTCTTGTTCAATAAAAGGGGCTTGTCAGGTTGGTATTAGCACGGCATCATAAGGTCTTTTGAGTTTGTCTATGCTTAGGTGTTTGGGGTTTGGGGTGTAGTATTCTCCAGTCTCCGATGTCTCTGTGGCTTGGGAAGGCTGAACCTGGCTTAAGCCGACGATGCATTGAGGATTACATGGTTTCATTGGGGAGGTGACTGAGGGCTCTTCCAGTTTGAAGCAGTGGAGCCTGTAAAGGAAATTAAGCCCTGAAACCTTGTAGAGCCCTTAAAGTCTTAAAGGAGCCCTTAAAGAAACCTAAAACGTAAAACCTACAGATCCCTTCAAGGAGCCTTTAACGGAACCCTCAAGTTTCCTGTGTTAGCCTTGAGGTGTGAGCTCCTCTCCCCGCGTCGCTGGAGAAAGCTTTGGCCTCGGCTGGTTCGGGATTAGGGGTTTCATAGGTGTAGGATTTGGGATTTAGGGTTTAGGGAAAGCTTTGGCCTCGGCTGGTTTGGAGTCCGGGGCTTTCTGGGGCTGATGATCTAAGTCCTGCATTACCATGCTCATTCCCACTGAGAGTTTGCGTGGACTTTGGAAGTTTGGACGCTTTTTATTTTGGGTTGCCGGGTTTGATAGGTGGTTGAAGGCTTGGTTGGGGTTTGGTATTCCTGAATGCGCAGCAAGTGTTTCGATGATCGGTCCGGCTGACTATTGTAGTTTCAGGATAGACCCATCCTCACCGGCCATGTCGCAACAAGCTCTGTCGGAGCAAGCTGGCAGCAGTTTCAAAGACGAGTTGGAGGCGCGCTTGCCGGGTTCAAACGACACTGCCTCCAAGAAGAAGAAGAACAAGCCAAAGAAGTACAAGGACAAGAGCCAAGGTCCTGGCTTCGATCTGACGAAGAACCCTGGCGAGGAAAAAAACGTCGTGGTTGGCTTCATGCAGTCCCTCGCTGAGTTAGACATGAGTAAAGTTGTTCTTTCTGTGGCTCAGGCGGGGCTGCTTTGCGTCATCGTTGTTCTCTTTCAAATCAACACGGTTCCTTGAAAGCAGTCCCAAGGCGATTGAAGCACGCTCAACATGGCAACAACAGCCTCCACCAGCTGGGAATTGTCTATAACACCGTGGAGGTAAAGCAGGGCAGCGCCAATTGCCACCAGTCAACCTTGACCATCACAGCTGAAGATAGGGACGGAGCTCCCTATGCGTGGAGTGGGCAGGAGTTCAGGGGGGAGGTGATGCCGAAGAAGGCGGCGGCAGAGAATGCAGCTGCCAGAGCGTTTCTTGCAGATTTTGCAGTTCGACAAGCGGCTGCAAACATGGATCCGGTTAACAAGAAACAGCTTACCCAGAACCAGAAGCAAAGGTTCGTGGTTTTGAAAGAGCTCAAACGAGCCAAGAAAGCTGCGAAAGCTGCGGCGAGACAAAGACACCCTTGCATCTGCTAGCATGTCCGGGGCCCGTAGGAGAAGGGCCCGACAACACACGCCATGTGATCCCCCCTGAACCCCTAAGGTTGAGAGTTGAAAATAGCCCCATTCTTTTGCTGAAGCCTTTTAAACGAGAGAGATGGGGCAATGGTCGCAGTCAACGCAGTCCCGAATGTTTGCTAGCAGCAAGTCAGGAAGATGATGCCGTGGCCTCGGCCTGCCACCTCTTCCGGGCAGCATTTGCAAACCTGCACGGGAGGGTACCTGCAGGTTGCTGGTCTAGGAATGATATGGGAAGTTTGTCGTGTAGGCGCAGCTTTGCGGCCATGTCTTTCAACAACATCGTGTGGCGAACGCATAGAGTTTCCCGCGCGTCCTAGGTGGTCTCGCGAAGATGCCTGGCGCTTGGGGTGAAGCCACGGGAGTAGTGGCAGGGGCTTCATGGGTTTCAGGTTAAGGATTAAAGGGTGTAGGTAAGAGGTTTACGCTCGGAGTTGCGGGATTTCGGGTTTAGCGATTTAAGGGATGTGTTGGCGTAACCGGGTCTGGGCAGGCGGGTTGGCAGAACTGGGCTTCTCAGGTTGCGAAAGTGTGCAGACCGCTCGGGACTTTCCACAAACTCGAAATCTGATTTGATCAAGCAAACGTCCTTATGAACTTCAATCTTAGTCAATCTTATTCGCGCGCAGAGCCACAGCTTTCACAGGGGGCATGGTTTCAGGTTGCCTCAAGTCAGAGGATTGGGAGTATAGGAAGCCAGTGGTCAAGGGCCCACCCCACCACTAAACTTTAGATACCCTCTACTCCCTATCACTTTCCTAAACCCTAAATCCCAAACCGGCAACAAACATCTCAGCCCCGGCTTCGAAATGCATCTTGGCCTCGTTTCGACATTTTTGATGGCCTATCCCACATCATTCTCCGGACATGGTTCGATTTTCCTAGCGAACCAGAGCTCGAAGCAATTCCAACTTTCAGGGTCTGCAACCGGATCTTGGCCCTAGTGCGGACAAATAGCCATCCGGCCCGAACATGATCAATGCGGATACGCTTCACGAGAGCTTGCTGGAGTCCCAGCTCTGCTCGCTGTTTGTAGAAGCCCGCCCCTCCGTGCCACGTAGACACTTGATTTTCTGCTGATTCCTTGCAGTAAGGATCATATAGCTCATTGTTGAACCCTATCCTAACTCCGGAGCCGCTGGCGCTGAACCCAAACCCTGAGCTCCGAAGCGCTAGCCATCAAACCGTCCCAACGCCCCAAACCCCGAAACTTCGCGTACATCCAAACCCTAAGCACTGAAACGGAAACCCGAACACCGCAATACCCAAACCCTGAAGCCTGAGATCCTTTGCTACCCATGACGAGGCAGAGATCTTGAGAGTCGCCACCCCCGCTGACACGTCTGGAGCCTGAGCGCACCGAAACGCCAGAATCTGCGACAGAACAATTCAAGTCTTACTTGTTTACTTGTGTTAGTTTTGTTGGTCACATGCCTTGAGGCCAGGGTTGCTAGACGGGCTTTTGGGCTCAGCTTTTCATGCTGTAGGGTTTTGCGGCGAGTTGACCAAACATCTGCTGCTGCTGTGGCTGTACCAATATGCAATTTCGAACCGTGGCTTTAAAAAAACCTTTCGGGCCCAAGTACCCCGACATTACTACCATTTTAATCCCAGGTGCCTAAGTCTTTTTTGAAGCTTGCAAAAAAGAATTCTTGGACACGTCTTGGCCATGTCCTGCGAAGCTTGTGATACCTTGACAAACTCTTGAATCCCTAAAACGCTAAACCCCTAAACCGTTGAACCCCCTAAAGCCCGAAACCCATAAACCCCTAATTATCGGCCTCAGCCCTCGCAGTAGCCTTGGATCAACACGTCGTTGTCCATTAACACAGAACTGTTCCGGTAACGGAGACTACATGAAATGTATCAAATAAAAGACAAGCATGAGCAGATCCGACAGTTGATGGCATCGCTTGGGGAGGAGTCGCGTAAAGAGACGTCGATGATTTTTGGCCCCTGAGAACGGGTGTATCCAGACTTGGAGCTTTACAAGCTCTTGATGTTTTGTGTTATCGGCGTGCAAAGGTGTGGCAAGTCTGGTCATTGACCAACAAAGCAATGTGACATGAATTATACATGTCCTCCCATCCCATTGAAGATGCCTCTCACCTTATTGCTAGTACCCATGAGCCCTCGAGCGAGGCGCTTACAGGAGTTACCCTCATCGCACTCCACGAGCCGCTCGCCAGCATTTTCCTCGCAGGAGTTTTGAGGTCATATACAGGTCCAACATCTTCGTCTCGGTGGTGATGGTGGTTGTGCTGATAGCAGCAGCTGCGCAACGGACTGATTTCGATACCCATAAGAATCGGGGCAGTTGTTGAAGACATGTTGCAAAGTTCGAACAGTGCAATCTTCAGAAGGAACGAAGCACACTGTGCAAAGGTCCTCCAAGATCACTTCATAAGAAGCTAGACGTAGCTGACATGCTGCTGCGAACCTTTGAACTTCCAAATGGTTTCGGGTTCAGGGGATTCGCGGAGCTTCATTCATAGCCATAGCTAGCAGAGTATAGACAAATGACTGGGATAGGGTTGCCTTGATTATGCGGCAGAGAGAGAGAGAGAGAGAGAGAGAGAGAGAGAGACGCCAGGGCCAGTACACTTCCTGGGCACCGGGCTAAGGCCCCAGCTATACGCAATACCTGTGGCATAGTAACTTGTTTCCTGTTGTTGCTCAGGGGCGCCGATGCCCCAGGAAGCCGTAGACACCCTGAGGCTGCAACCACCAGACTGCCACAGAGCACAGTCAGCCGAGGAATAGCCCCGGCAACACAGCAGCGAGGCGAGAGCAGCAGTATAGTAAGACATACGCTGGCAAGTAGGTGTTTTACGCTCTTGTGTTGAACTGTAGAACAAGCTCCGATGATTCAACATTGAGCGCATGCACATCAGCGTTTTCGCGAAAGCCTTGGCCAACGATTGTGCGCTTTGGGGTGATGTGTGTCAACGAGAGTCAATATGTACGGCAACGTCTGCAGTTTTTGTGCTATGTGCTAGCAGAGCGGGCAATCAGTTACCTGTGGGCGAACATGTTATGAAGCTGCATGTAACACCAAGTTGGACCCTTGGCAGTTCGGGGCGTGTAGGATTGGTGTGTTTTTGGAGGGGTAATTGCGTCCACTGTTATGTTCTTGGATAGCGGACATTTCTACTTCCGAGCGACAATGTGGACGATAGTGCGTTGGGATTTCAACAAAAAGGTGGTTGAGCCATCTAGATTCGAACCCCGTCCCCCTGCGGCTTTCCTGATGGTGATTAAGACCACAAACATCCAATTTTTGAGAAGTGTCTGATTTCAGGCCGATTGCTTTTGCCGGCAACAGCTTGCTTCAAAGCGATACCCCACTGTTCCAGCCGTTCAGTGTTACTTGACATTATGCCAATGCAGTCATGCATCGGGGCGGAACCCCCGAATAGTAGGAACACGCTGAGGGGCGCGCCGAAGTCCGCGTTGGGGGTGGCCTCGCAGGCATCCATCACGCAAAGACCGTGCTTGTCACTCATCGTGACTGTACGGTCCACGCGGTCGTTGGAAGCCTGAACTTCAGCGCGAGCTCCAGGGCCAACGCCGAAGCGGGCGTCAGCTTGGCCACGGTAGTGACGAGCGAGTTCGCTACCAAGTGGCTTGATGCCTTCGGCAGCGAATTCGCCCGAGCCACCGACCTGCAGGACTATGAGGTCGGTGCGGCCAAGGCGAAGCCCCGGCCGAAGCGGCCGAAGGAGAACCAGACAGAGCCGCAGTGACCGTGGACCTGAGGTCGCGGTTCACGCGACACCTTCGGTCGCTGCGGCGCTCTTGCAGTTTTGGGTTGCGGCTCCCAGCCGGTTGCCGATGAGGTATACAGGGTGGCGTATCCGCTCTAAAGGCCTCAGACGCTCACGGCTGGGGAGGCACGGAAGTGCCCCCGAAGCGCGTGGAGTAGCTTCGTGTCCTCAGCCGCTTGTTTCACCAGTCCTGTGGCCGCTGTGCGGCGCAGACTGTGTACAGTTTCCGGACCAGAGCCTCGTGCCAGCAGTGCCGAGAAAATGAAGGGGCACTGAGCGCGGTGTGTCGTTTTGGTAGGGTAGTCTGTAGGTCTACGCCCGCTGTGCCAATCGGCACCCCCGTGCTCTCGGCTGAGGGGCGAATGTGACTGTACATAGTCTGTGGGCTGGCTGTGAAGCTGTGTGCTTTTATGCATGCTGCTCTAATTCATGTTCCCTAACAATTTTGGCTCAAGTGAGCACGGCAGCTAGTCGTAGGTTGCTTCGTGTAGCCTGCGGCACAAGTTGTGCGCAGTACGCCTAGGGCAGACGTTCGGGCTGTCACGCCCGTTGACCTCGCTTTGGGCAGCGTGAAAACAAGGGCGGCTGCCTTTGCTGTCTTATACAACAACAACAACTACTACTACTACTACTACTACGACGACGACGACGACGACTACTACTACAACAACTACTACTACTTACTACTACTACTACTACTACTACTACTTCTACTACTACTACTACTACTAGTACTACTAGTACTACTAGTACTACTAGTACTACTAGTACTACTAGTACTACTAGTACTACTAGTACTACTAGTACTACTAGTACTACTAGTACTACTACTAGTACTACTAGTATTAGTACTACTACTACTACTACTACTACTACTCGCCCAGGACCTAAACCGAAAACTGCTCAACACCGTTTAGGGTTTAAGGCTTTAGGGGCTAGAGCTTGCGTCAGCCCTGTTGATTTCGGAGGCCGCATTGACCCCGAAGGCAGAATCATGCGGCGAGGCGCTCTGCTGGTGGCTGCATGTGGCCTTTGAAAGATTTACGTAGATCTTATGCTCCTGCTTGTGCTCGTGCAGGTTTCTTCATTGGGCCTGCGAATGCATGGATTCATTACTCTTTCGGGACCTGCTTTGTGCAAAGGTGTGATTTGTTCTTTGCGTGCTGATATTCGAGAATGCCTCAAGAGGTCCTAGTCCTCCGGAGCCGAAGCCAAAACCCACAGGCGGTGAATCAAGCAACGAAAAGGCTTCACAAAGATACTTGCAAGGAATCACCATGCTGGGTAGAGCATGCCCGCCATAGCATCTGACCAGGGCTTTAAAGCTTCGGCAGTTGTGGGTCAAGGTTTGAAGTTCAGGGCCTAGGGCGTTAGGATTTAGGGTTTAGGAGTTCAGGTCTTATGCCACATATTGGGGTTTAGGGTCGCGAGGGTTTACGGTCTGCAGTTTAGGGCATAAGGACTTAGTGGGTAGGCCCGACAAATCAGATCCGAAGGAAGCGCCTCTTTGAAGGAGTGATCTCGTGTCGGCTGTTATCGCTGCATTGCTTCAGTTTCAGATGTGTTCTCTCCGTTCTGTGTTTTTGTCTCTGATGTTTTGAAGGTTTCGGAGTTTGCTCGCAGTATAGGCATGTGTGATTATTTGTCCCTTCCTATCCTATTGGCAGTTGCCAAACTTTTGGAGCGAAAGTTTCTTCAGAGTTTTTTCGGACAGAAGGGGCCCGGCTTCCGGCGCATGCTGCGTAGAGCCACTGGCAGTGACGTGTATTGTGTACGTCAAACACTTGCGAGAAGCATAGAAGGAGTGGTTGAGAGCGTATCATAAACAAGATACCCTAACAAGGAGTGGGCAAGTGGGTACTGTGTTTCTGCAAAGGCAGCGCGTTCTCAGCCAGTGGTTCGAGGGGCCTGGGACGGCTCTATATGAACGCACGATGTTTGGTTTAACTTGAAAGGACAGGACTCATTGATTCAGCAGCGCCTGCGAGGGAAAGCTGAGTGCAGGAACTCATACTCGTCATACTCCACATGCATGCCTTTTCGAGCAGAAGGGCCCTGAAACCTAGCGAGAAGTGCGAGCGAAGAGCGCTACGGAAGGTTTAACAAGAAAAGAGGCAACCCATAAAAGCAGCTACGATGGAGGGTAGACGGGTTTGATGAAACCTGAAGTCATGGACAGGGCACGAAGGAAGGGGCGGCCACAGCCGAACCGGCGACGGAGCTCATGCCCCAGAGGGCAAAGAGAAGAACGGTTGAATGAAAGAGTATGTTCGCAGCATTTCGCAGCGCCCAACTCGGCCAAGGTCATCCACCTCAGCCAAGCAGGCCTTGGCCGACCTAGCGGCTTTGGGAATTCAGGTTTACGCTTTAAGAATTTAGGATTAGGGTTTTGCGGGTTTAAGGTTTAGGATTTAGGGGTTGTTGATGTTTGTTTTTTTGCATTTTTTTTGGGGGTGACATGGGGTGTGTGAGAAACAACAGGGGTTCATTTTTTGTTGTGTGGAGGGATGTGTTGAGGGCTTTGAGGGTTTGATTGTTTGAGGGCTTTAAGCGTGTTACGATGTTATTGTGCAGGGTTTGAGGGTCTAGGTTTTGGGTGCAGGCCCATTGAAAGTTTTAGGTCTTGGAGTGTAGCCTTTCGTTCGGCAAACTAGGAGGCCTTCTTGACAGAATGCTCACCTTCCAGGCGCTTCAAGCGCAGTGAGACCACCAAGGCCAACTTCATCCCAGAGCTGCTCAACCCCAACTCCCATGCCCGAGATCCCTAAGCCCTAGACCCTAAACCCTAAATCCCCAATCCGAAATACTTATCCCCGATTCCTGCACCTTGAACCCCATATCCCAAACCCAATCCAACAAGTCCAAGTTCCAGGGGGGCCGGCGCAAAAAGCCCAAAAGGTTTCTATGAGGATCCTCCCTAAGCTCAAACTAATATATTTATTGTGTCAAATGATACAGTAATATCTCAAGCCGAACGCCCTGCCTTCTACAAGCAAACAGGCCAGAAACGAGCTCTTCAAAAAAAGACTGGAGGCCGAAAGTAAAGGGGGCCTTATCAATTCGACTCGGGCTGTTGGAGTAGATTACAGTACTTGTATGTTTTGTCATAAGGAACCTTGAAGAATAATGTCGAAAATGATTCAGGCTTTTATATTACTGGTATCTGAGTTCCTGCAGGTATGTGGGGGTTCAGGGTTTATATAGGTCTTAGGGCCGTCGGTTTAGAGTGTTCACGGTCTGGGGGCTCTTCATTCCTAACTGCGCAGTGGCTTCGGGCTTTGAGATTTTACTGGTTTGGCGAGTTTCGGGGCAGAGGCCAGGTTCGGATCCAGAGGAGTTCAGTTTCGGATCAGGGTGCTGCCAGTTTATAGTACGTGCAACTACTACTAACCAGTAGTCGAGGCAGTAGTGGTACTCGCGGCAATTACTATTCGTACTGGTCGTA